TCTCTCTCTCTCTCTCTCTCTCTCTCTCTCTCTCTCTCTCTCTCTCTCTCTCTCTCTCTCTCTCTCTCTCTCTCTCTCTGCACCTTCGGCTGACCTCTTCCCTTGCTGCGTACCCCACCCAACCTCTGGGCGTCCTCCTTCCATCTTCCCTCCCTCCGCCCGACTTCACCCTGCCGTCTTTCCCGTCCTCTTCCTCTTCATGCATTTTCCCATGCTCATCTCTCCCTTACCTCTTCCCTTCCTCCGTACGTCACTCAACCTCTAAACCACGTTCTGCTTTCTGTCCTCCCTCCGCCCTACTTCTCCCTGCCGCCTCCCTTTTCTCCCGGCCTCCTCTGGACCTTGTCTTAAACCTCCCTCTGCCCGAGCTTCACCTGGCCACCTGACTGCCCTTCCTTCGCCCAATCTCCGCCTGACCTCCTTCCCTCTATCTCCTCCGTCCTCTTCCTTCCTCCGCATGATTTGCACTGACCTCCTCCTTCCCCCAATGTCCTTCCTCCCTTTCCTTTCTTTGCGTGATCTCCACCTGAACTCCTGCTTCCGCCCTACTCTCTGCCGCCTTTCCCCTGCCTACTGGGCTCCTCTGCACCTTCTCTTCAACCTCCCTCTGGCCTCCGTCCGCCTGGCCGCCTCATTCCCCTTCATCCGCCCCCTTCGTTCGCCCGATCTCTGTCTGACCTCCTTCCCCCAATCTCCTTCCTCCCCTTCTTTCCTCAGCCCGATCCCCACATGACCTCCTCCTTCCATTCCTCCCTCCGTCGTACTCCCCACCTGGCCTTTCCTCCCTCGACCGGCCCTCCTTTCGTAACGCCCGACCTAAGAAGTGCTTTTTCTTTACCCGGTGGACGTAAACGCTCCATTTGTTATCAAGATCGCTCCATTTCTTTTAAAGATCTCAACACGGTTGCACACGTGCAAGAAGGAGAGAGGGAAAGAAGGAGAGAGAAAAACGCATTTGACCTAACACACTTCCTCCTCTTGCTCTTCCTTCCTCGCACCTTCTTTGTCCTTGTCTCTCTTCCACCATCTCGTCTTCTGCCTCCTGAAGATCTTTCTCCTCAACACTCTCCCTCGGTCTTTTCTCTTTGGAGCGGCATTATGATTAACTGCCCTGCAGCAGGTATTTCAGGGTATCTATATTTCTTTTCACCCCAATCCCTACACACACCACACTGAGTCATC